ACCATGCAGGAGGCTGAGGTGGGAGGATTGCACATTTGAGCCCAACCTGGCCATTTAGTGAGTTAAGAACTAGCTTGAATTTTATAGTAGGACTCAGTCAAGAGAAAAAGAGAGAGGCAGAGAGGCAGGGGAGAGGGCTAGAATGGTCAGTATTGTGGTATGTATATCTTAAAGGCAGTTTTAAAGATTAAAAGAGTGGGGCCGGGGAGATGGCTCAGTGGAATAAGCACTTCCCCGGCAAGCTCAAGGCCTGAGTTCAATCCCTGGTTCCGAAAAAAAAAAAAAAAAGATTAAAAGAGTGGAAGGGGGGGACAGAGCGGGAGTGGCCGGAAGATGAGCCCAGAGATGGGAGAGATGGGTCCCGCTGTCACATTGGCATCAGGACCACAGAATGCACTGCCCGGCCAGCCAGCCCTGCGCTTGGGTTCTTCGTCCTCACCTTCATTTGTCCCCCAGCACCATGTGTGAGTCTCGTGCACAGCAGAACCAGCTCTGGGAACCCCTCCACCTCTCTCTGTATGGGTGGTGGTGGGAGTACGGGGGTGGCCCTGGCCTCACACCTGCCAGGCAGGCTCTCCGCCACTTAGTGTCCCTGAAAAGTGGTTTGCCTATTTGGGAACTGGAATATACTGCCCCAAGGCAGTGGTGTGTCTCAGAGTGCTTTCAGAGGGAGCCTTTGGCTTGTGTCTGAGCCTAGAGCCTTCCCAGAGGCCCCCATGTCTTCCTCTAATTTGTTAAATTGAGAGAACAGATTTTCGGTCTTGTGTTGATGTTTTGGGCACCAGTAGCTCGGAAGTCAGCAGTGAGTGTCTGTTGTGCTCATGCAACTAGGCAGATACTTACTGTGCTTGGGTTCAGTCTCACGGATTGAGTGAATGACAAGTTGGCCTCAGTCTCCTACAGCCCATCAGAGCCCTGGACTGCTCAGGGCTGACCAGAACAGCACATTACTTCTTTACAGAGAATCAGCAGGGAAGATCCGAGAAAGCAGGGAGCTCGGCACTAGGACTGTTTAGCTGCCTATAAAGCAGTGTAGTAGGCATCACTCCCTCACAGGACCTAGAATATATTCAAGGTCACTGTCATTCAAAATAACCCAGCAGTGGGCCGTGGGATAGCTCAGCGGACTAGTACAGGGATGAGAGTTCAATCCCCAGCACCACATGCTGTGTAGGCCCCACCCCGGGTCCCGGGTCCCGGGTCGTGCTGAGCCCCACGGAGTCTGGGCGTGGTGGTGCACACCTGTAATGCCAGCGCTAGGGAGGCTGAAAACAGCAGGATTGCTACAAGTCTGAGCTGTGGAGTGAGACCCTGCGCCAGTACATTAAAAAATAAATAAGTAAACAAATAAACTAAAAAACTAGGCATGGTGGCACATGCTTGTAGTCCCAGGGGCTGAGGCAGGAAGAGCTTAACTTGGAGTCCAGGCTGGCTGACTTGGTTAGCAAAACCTTGTCTGAAAATAAATATAAAAGGCTACATGTGAGGACCATCAGTTCCATCCCCAGTATTTAAAAATGGGGCAGGAAGAAGACAGAGTCAAGAATTAAGCTTAGGGCATTTGCTTTTCTGTGTCAGCAGAATGGTGTATGCATGTGTATGTGCGCGTGTGTCTGCGTGTGCGTGCGAGTGTGTAACATGTTGAACATGTGGAATGCAGAGACTGATTTACCAGTGGAAGTCAGGACTCACTGATGACAGCCTGAGCAAGTGACAGCCTGTTTCTGGAGATCAGTCAAGTTGTGTAGGTTTTCTTGATACGGTGCGGGGTTTGCACCCAGGACCTGACCCACCTCGAGCAAGCGCTGGCCTACTGAACTATATCCTCAGCCTCAGTTTCCTCGGTGGCAGGCAGTTGTTACAGGCTTCCCCTAAGGGTGACAGCAGGTGGCATGCCTTCCTAGCACCAACACTGTTTCTCACGTCTCCCACACCATGTTGTCTGAGTTACTTGGGAGAATGCATTTCTTCTCTCCTTTCTGGTTTTTTCACGTGAGAACTGTCTTAATCCCAGCGCTTCCTGTAATCTCCAGACAGGCTATCTCAGTGGTAGGTTGTTCGTGTGTGTTTTATGGCCAGACCAGTTTATTAACAGAGGACTCAGCCCTTGCCCGGGGCCCTGCCTCCTGCACCAGATCGATAGCGGCCGGCTTGCTATCTTTCTAGGCAGCCGAGTGGAATGGTAGCATGAGTTGAGTCTGCAGTTACTGTTGGACACACACCCTGGCTTTCCCACTTAGATCTACGGCTAAGGGCCAGGTATGTGATTTTTCTGCCCCTCAGCTTCTAAGGAAGACCTCATAACATCTCCATACATACAGTAGGCTTAGCACAGTGCCCTATTAGTTACCCTCAGGGGGAAGAACAAATCGCTGTTGGATTTATTCTGGAATGCTGCCAACCAGGTTACGTGGGAGCCAGAGGAGAGCATGTCAAGTCAGAAATCCGTGACCCCCCTCAATCCGCAGTTTCTCTGAGTCTTTAACTCTTCGGACAGTCCTGCCAAAAATACATGTTCTTCACGGCTTTGAGCGTAAGCTCACTAGAAAAGAATTGTTCTCAAATTTCTGAAGAATTCAGGAACTCAACTCTTGCAGAATTTTTCAAATGGGTGGTCTGTAGGGTTGATGGGAGAAATCCAAGCCCCTTTCCTAGCACCTGCTGCAGGGCTGGCTGTGCTGGGCAATTACCATTGGCAGCAACATGATAGAAATGTCTCAACCTGGTGTCTTTCTTCCTCTTGTGTTCTGAGTTCGCAGATACTGTGCTTTTCTATAGCAGCTTAGTGAAGCATGAAGCAATTACTTTCTTTAATTAAGCTTATCTCTTTCCTAGTGATGGATATTACTGATATCATACACGGGAAGGTGGATGATGAAGAAAAACAGCATTTTATTCCCTTTCAGCAGTAAGTACTTTGGCATGTATCCCAGGTGACTTGAGACCAGGATTAGCTAGCTGTTTGCAAGCTATGTGAACTCAGAGCCCAGTGCTAGGAACCCTTTTCTCAG